AAAGGTCAAATTTTGAAGTTGAGCATTCTCAACAAAAAAAGACGTGCATCGGATGCAATTTGAGCTCTGGAACACGATGATGCTATTCGTTTTGGTTTTCGATATCAAGAACGTACTGAAAGTGCCTTTGCAATACCGAAAATTATGATTAACCGACTACGGTAAAATGCAAAAGCCGATAACATTGCCATTTCTGAAGATATCTGACTGAAACTTTCCAAAAGCAATGCAAATGATATATACAAAAGCCAATAAGGTTCATTCTGGTCGATGGCTGCTCCCCAAAACTCTGAATGTTATCAACCATATCGGACATCCTTACGATGTTCTGTTGGCTGGATGTCTTTTTGCTTTATTGAATTTGATCAGACTACATTCAGTTAAGACGACGAACATTTATTGGTCACCAGAAAGTATACCCACAAGTCAATCGACAATCGACAACCAACAAATGCAATCGACACGAGCGTCGAGCACCCCTCAGCACAAGCAACTGCCGGGGCGATTACATAGACGGACCGCGCTCCTCTCTCGCAGCTGATTGGTCAGCTGCCGAACCGCACGGACGTCAGCTGCACGGCCGCCGCCCGGCCGACCTGATCGGGGTCGGCCGGGCGGCGACCTAGCGTCACTAGAACTGCAATAACTTTTGCCGGCAGTGTGATGCCGACCTAATTTTTTCAGCAAATGAATCACAATTGTACGGTATATGATATGGACGTTGTCTCGATGTGAAGCACGCTGTGCGTTTTTTGGTAGGCCTATGTAAATATTGAAATCCTCAAGCCCTTCTGCTTTGTGCAAGTGTGCAACAATTAGCGTACAATAACTGAGTGGGAAGTTTTTTAGATGTACTTTTGTTACCAATGGATTCCGCACATTTTCCCCTTTCAGCTGATATCTTACTTACGCATTTTCAAGCAAAGAATATGACAGGAGACTCGTCAACATTTACATGAAAATCGCAGCACAAGTTCGGTCTCACGGAGCAAAACAAAACGGTGTACTTTGGGAGCCCACCAATCTGTGCCAGAATGAGTAATATTTTTTCTGGATGATGTTTTATACAGTCTGATCAATTTACGACCAGAAAATGTGAGAAAAGCACGCTTTAAAATTTGTCGAAAATTAGGGTATTGGCCACTTCTGAACCTGGATAGCGGCTGTGTGCGCCGCGGCGGCAGGATGTTTGACTTTACACAGCTATTACTAGAAAAGTTGTGAACCGATTTCCTTATTTCTTGCACGAGAAGATCCGCAATTCAATTCTGGACAGGTAACCGAAATTTCACATTAATAATATGTTTGCGACGCGAGTTATTGGCGAAAAACAGGAGGGGTGGGCGAAATCCGCCCACCCCCCCTTCCACTGCGCGTGTTAAAGATTTGGGCTATACGGGGATTCGAACCCCGGTCCTTTGGATTAGCGCTCCAATGCTCTACCTCTGAGCTATATAGACCAAGTACAAGATATCTTGGCTCGCTACGCGTCGCGTTGGCCATAAAATGATTAAGGAGAAAATTTGGGACCGATTGGTGTTTGTCCCGTGTTGATCGGACGTCTAGAAGCTTAGATATTCGCGAAAAACTTGTTGAACTTTCAGCTTGCTGTATCACCTGCTACTTGGTAATGTACTGAAAACTTGCTAATGTACTGAAAACCTGCCAAAGGTATTTACTTTCCTAAATACCGCAAAGAACTTGAACTTTCAGCTTGCTGTATCACCTGCTACTTGGTAATGTACTGAAAACTTGCTAATGTACTGAAAACCTGCCAAAGGTATTTACTTGCCTAAATACCGCAAAGAACTTGTTCTAAAATACTCGGTATTTACGTGCCTAAATACCGCAAAGATCTTGTTCTAAAATACTTGGTATTTACTTGCCTAAATACCGCAAAGAACTTGTTCCTTTTCCTTTCCGACGTTTAAATCAGACGTCTTTAGACGATCAAAGACTTTGGGAATTTGCCTTAGTCCCAGATCATTTTGATTTGTTTGCAAAGAATTGCATGCAATTCGAGTTATGCCTAATTCCAAATCGTAATTTACTTCACCTACCATTCGTATTTTGCTTCACCTACCTATCGGTTGTCACTCGCTGTTCGCGTCCTACCTATTAAGGGTTTACACTTAAGATCAGAGAGCCGGTGGGTGGTTATATTGCAATACCTTGCACGGTGAACAGCTTGCGAGTTTTGCAGCGGTGCGATTGCTGGGGCTTATCGCTGACTGAAAAGGGTAAATACAGTAAATACAGATGGCTGTGTTGGATCCCTTTGCTTTTGCCCAACATTCAGCGTTGGAATTGTGGCTTTACCGTCCCTCTTATTAAAGTTATCTAACTTTTTGTAGCTTCGTCAGGTTAGACACGACGCGCGTTGCGGTATCCCTCTGGCGGCCGCTGGCGGAACTACCGCGCACGGCCCGCACACGGGCCTGGCGGCCGCCAGTGGAACTACTGCGCAGGTGGCAGCACCTGCCCGTGGAGAAGCGGCTGGCAATCGGCCGCCCCACTCCCCACCCCGCCCCCACCCAGCTGGCCGCCAGACCGTGGGAACGACTCGGCTCAGCACTGCCGCACGCGCATTCAGCGGCGGGTTGTCGATTTGTCGAGTGTCGGCTGCCGATCTCCCGCGAGCCGGCCACCTGTCAGCCGCCGCTCGGCTCTGTGTTAGGCATATGGGGACGGCGAATTTCTCCCGGAGGGAAGCACCTCGCTCACAAAAGCACGTGAATCAGCCGCATTCCTGTGTGGCGCGCAATGCTGAAGAGATATGTCTGTCCGCGGGTATCTCGCAGGGCCTAAGACACGGTATATAGAGAACTAGGTAAAACCGGTTTGCCGCCACAACACTAAGGTATTTTGACCACTTTCTTCAGCTGACCTTTTAGAACCAAAAACGAAAAGTAGCCCATATATTTGGCTTATAATAATTACACACATATTAATTTAACCCGCGCCCTGCTGGGGGGGGGTGTTTGAACACCCCCCCTTGTGGTTTTTCGCGAATATCTCAAAAACGGCGGCGCGGAGCGCCGCCGTTTTTGGTACACCTTATCATACATCAATTCTACACATGTTGTGAAAATTTCAGACCAAGGTCATTCAAGGTCAGGTCACCAGGTCACTTGAAGTGACCTCACCTCATAAAAAGTGTCAATGTCTGTCATAGCTACACCGAGTGACCGATCGCTTTGAAACTTTCAGCGATTGCTAAGAGCAATAGCATGTACAAAATGTATATCTCAGAATTTTGATATCGATGACCTAAGGTCAGGTCAATTTTGCGACCTCCCCATTATAAGTCAATGGGAGAAAATTGAAATGCGCCTCTTTTGGACGAAAGACATTATAAACACTCCCAAACACTGAATTACAAGTGGTTTAGACACACTGAACATGAAAATGGTGTCCGTGACCCCTGTTTATGCCCTGAGGTCATCTTAGGTCACGAATGGTATCTAACAGTTTTTCGCAAATAACTTTTGATAGAGGCATGCTAGAGCGATGAAAACGCCTTAGATGTGTTCAGCTCGACGATACGGATCGACTGATATGCAACATGACCCTTTCCGGTCAGGTCATGACCTTGACCTAAGGTCAAATTTTCAAGTTGACCTTTCAAGGTCAAGTTATAGTTCATTCGATGCGTCTTGACGAGAGGAACACGATGCCGGTAAAAGTAAGCTCGTACAAGGCTTGCGTCAAAAGTTATTGCAGAAAAACTGTTTCCGAAAAAATCGGCTATTTTTGCAGTTTTTGCCCCCTGCAGGCAAAACCGTTGACGGTAGGTCAAATCTGAGAGAATTACTCAGAAAGGGCGTTAATAGGGCTATCGAATGCGCTTTTCCGCGGCGGCCTGTAGCTCTTTGGTTCCCGAGTTATGCGTTGGCTTCTTGGAAATTTTCGACATTCGACCTGGAAATCGGCGAAATTTTGCCTTCAATGACCTCTGGTGACCTGACCTTTGACCTGACCAAAAAATTGACCGAAGTGATTTCCTCATTATTTTTGACGCTCTTTCGAACGCCGCCTTCCGCGTATCGCTACGTGGCCCAGGAGCCGAGTTAGAAGGGGGGGTGTTCAAACACCCCCCCCCCCCAGCAGGGCGTGGAAATCCAGGACCCCCAGCAGGGCGCGGGTTAAAGAGCATTATCACAGAGGAAGTGACGAGTAAATCTGTGTGATAATAAAGAAAATAAAATCAAGCAATTTGCACCATTTTCCCCCAATAATTTATTTAACGTTACGGATGTTTATTGCATCTGAATTTCATTTTGTGTCTTCAAATAATAAAATTAATAGTAGATCTACACAAATATCCACAATAATAGCTTTATTCAATTTCTAGGGAAACCATGGCCTATGCCCACTTCTCATTCACGACGTAGTAATGTTTCAAAGCAATGGTTTGATTATTCATCATTCGCCGGTCCACAACCGCGCTATATTTAGACTTAAAAAAGATTTTTCTACAATATTAGCTATAAATTATCAAGGTTCATGCCCGACATTCAAAAATATTCAAAGAAACATAAATTAGAGCTGCAGTTCTATCAGGTCCCCGCAGCACACCTCACACGAGCTGTCTCAAAAACAAAAGGGAGTCGCGATCTATAAAAAATACGAAAAAATGCAGAATTGATCATTCTATAAGTTGGCCAATTCCTGATGCGAAGTCAAACTTGAAACGTACTCATTTTTGGTTCCAAACATGAAAGTTTGCATTTACCTGGTACTCAGCTTTGAACAAAATCGCACATCTTTTGGAAAGTTAAACGTAATTGTTGAAAAATTATACCTTTTCTGAAAGAGCAAACTTTTTTACGCTTAATGCATGTAACAAATCGGGTATCAATCTTCGAAAGATCATAAAATTTACGCCTGAAGTATGTCACTGTTTGCTTCGCGTTGGGTGACGCCTTCACATTGTCTGGATGATTACTCGAAAACAGGAGAGAGTCGCGATCTATTGAAAGATGAAAAATGCACAGAATTATCCATTTAATATACCTTGTAAATCTCAATACCAGGTCAAACTTGAAACGCACCCAATTTCGGCCCCAAAGACATCAGAACGATTTTACACGAGGTACATCAGTTCGTAATGGCGTATGCTGGTGTTCGATGTTTATGCTCATGATGCTTTTGCTTTTTATTTCAGCGTTTGAAGACGAAATTCGAGGCGTGATTGGCTCAGAACAGCGAAGCTCATTGCCAAGATTCAAATTATGAACAGTTTGACAAGCATTGTTTGTATTGTATTGTAGTGTATTGGTAGGGGTTTGAATTTGAGATTTCAGCAAATTTCAAATTAGAAGTGATGTAGGAGTTGTGTCATTGCAGTGCAATTATGAAATTCTTCCAAATGCCATGTTGGAGGGATTGGAAAGCCATATTGAAGTATCATTGGCGACATTGGCTAGCCAGTTCACATACCTACCAGAGTTGTTTGATATTTGATAAATATTTGGTTGGTAGGTACCTTTTCATTTGAATTAAAGCTGGAACTGGAACGTAACAGTGAAGAAAAGGATGCTGATTACTTGATGTATTGAAAATACCAACTGGGCCCTGTTCATGTTTCAACGTTCTGCTTCTGACACTGCGCACGCTGCAGCGTGCTGGGAGCTATAGCATACCAGCAGCGCGTTGGGTGTTCATGGAAACATTACAAACTCGGATGCCTCAATGCTGAAGCTTTGAGCCGAATTCGTCTTGAACGCTGCACCAGCGCTCTGCAGTGCACGCACCATCCAGACCGTGAAACAGGGCTCTGGTCGTAGATGTTGATTTCTTTGTAACTGGTAACGGAAGCATCAAGCATGATGAGCAGCACCATGAAGAGTGAGTTGCTGCCGCTGGTATTGAAATATAAGTAACTTTTTGTCTTTTAGCAGAGCTAGACATTAAATTTGGTATCCTTTTACAAACTTACTATTATGGATGTCAAGATGTTGCTAACAGTGGTGCTGGCACCACCAACACCAGTCTATCTCTTTATGCTGGTGTTTCATCCCTTTGCACTGCAGATGGTTGACAAAGCACAAAGCAAAGCAAGCACAAAGCATTCACTCAGTTCCTAATCTCGGTCTCCGCTGCTCTCACCTGTGTCAGCTGTCTTGTCTACCCCTGTACTCCTGAGTCCTTACTCCCTCTCTCTTTCGCTTTACCCAGGTTTTGTCAATGTTCTGCATGTACAGTTGCTGCTTTTTGGTGCGCCCAGGCTGTTCATCCAATTAATGCCTGAAGAGTTGCTGAAAGTGCCTCCCGCCAGACTTGCTGAATGGCTATTACCTGCATCTGCTATCTGGACTGAAGCTTCCCCAACTAGCTGACATGGGTCTCGGCAGCTGGGCTTAATAGGTCACAGGTCAAAGTTCATTCGGGGCAGGTTCATAAAATGTTAAGGACATGTGTAAAATTGATCAACTCGAGGGTACTGAAAGTTTCGTCGCAATCGGCCTCTTTTTTTACGAGAGCTATCGGCGAAAAACCGAGAAGGGGTCCGTTCGACCCCCCCCCCCCATACGGGTGAGGGTTAAGCTACATTCGGAAATTCAAACTACATCTAGCTAAGCACATCAGCCCATCATGGGCGTTTGACTAGTAAAATATAGACGTTTCAGCCTTATGTTACGTTGAATAAGCCTAATTTAATTATAGAAGGTCGTCATTATGTGCCTGCTGCGGCTTTTGTCGTCTTCATTGTGTGCTTTGTGGTTTTTTAGTTTTGATCATATCATCCTCCACCAGGCTTGTTTCTGACGGTGGTTCTGAAGACAGCGGGTCGATCCAGCTGTAGGACGTCATCTGGAGGTGGAAGAGTGTGATGGCCAGCCACGCGGCGCGCGTATCGACATTGACCAGAAACCATCACATCATCTCCAGGTCAGTAAACTAGGTCAGCGACGTCACGGCAATTCTGTGACCCGTCGCCGCGTCCTTAGGTGGGTGGCTCGGGGGAACTTTTTGTGTTGCCGGGATGGGATGTCTGCTAATGCAGGTGCCGTTGCAACGTGAAGTGTCGTGACGTATGATGGGTCTCAGGTTCGGGCTTCAATTTATCGAGTGAGAAATGTGTGTACATACAGGCTAATGTACTGTTATTCTAGCTGAGTGTGCGACAGGAAACATGATGAGCTATGAACCGTGGTCGCTGTGGCTCATAGTGGTATATGACGACCGTCGTGAGTCGTGACCTGTGACGGTCACCGTGACTGCTATGTGACGGTCGCCGCGGCTGGTATATGACGGCCGCCGTGACTTCTATAACGGCCTTCGTGACTGAAACGTGACGGTCGTCTTGACGTGCCGCGACTCGCTGCTTTACAGGTCACTGGTCGCGGGCGCTCGAGCTGACGGTGTCTTCCAACGGCTCCACGGTGACCAGCGCCGCCACCGCCGAGACCATCCGACTCCTGAAATGATAATGGCCGTACACGAACAAGAGGCTCTAAGCATCCAGGTGCAAGCAAGCGCCATGCTCAGAGGCGTCATCCGAAGAAGGTCGCACAGGGCACTTAAGGCTGAGCTCGGGTGTAGTGCGCGCTGACGGATAGGATGAAATGACGGCCATCATCTTTCAGTGCGGAGATCAAGATGGTCGGAGCCGACGTGGCTCCGTTGATGGTTGCTGGGGTTGATTGAGAGTGGAGGCGAGACACCCGGATCTGTGAAGGATACGTCGATACAGGTCTCGACGTCGTCTCGCAATTTGTGCTATGTAATATGACGGCTATGCCGTGGTCTCATTCACTCTCGATACGCTGATAAATCATAAATAGGACAGAGGCTGGAATAAAGATGATTATATTCCATATTTGGATGTATAATATAAGATATAATTATATTCATATAAGACTATATTATATTTGGATGTAAGGGGCAGGTTTTTGCCAGCGCGATATTAAAAATCGTGAGCGTGCTAGTTGTAATCACTCGCGCTCTTTTTGCTGAGCATCTGTGAGCGAGAAAATACTTTCTCTGGAACTTAGCAGTTCGCCGTGAAATATGTGTATCTTTGGAGTAAGTTGTCAGAGCAAGTGCATTTTTGGTGCATCCACTGCAGCTGCTGTTCTGGAACAGAAACATGTCGAAATCGGCTGTATGTACGCTGTGGCAATATCAAGCAGCCGTACCATGAATCAAAAGCGATATGTGAATTAAAGTGAATATATTTCACTATCTTTTTCCGTTTTATCATACAGATCACACAAATGCGTCAAATACTGATCACACCCGGTTCCAAACAAAAACGCTTGCGATCACTGAAAGTGAAAAGTAAATAAACAATAGATACCCAGGTGGCTGAGTGGCGCGATCCGAGGCTCTCTCTCACTGTTGTTACTGACGCACACAGGACAATACGGCCGAATCGGCCACGATGGAGAGCACGGAACGATGCTGGTGACTGGCGGACCAGCGAAAACAGGAAAGGAGATGGATAGCTCTAGCTCCCGTCTGCGCGCGGAAGGGCGCAGATTGACGCGGCTCACAGACTCCATTGGCTTATCAGGCTGTTGTCGGTTTTCTCCCTCCCCTCCCACAGGCGTAGCCAGGTAGCTAAGTTGTGCGCGGAAGCGAGCGGCCAGAGCGGCGCTAGGCGTCACCCTCTTGCGACCGGACAGCGCAGCTGGACGTGCCGCGGATGGTCCGCCGCCTCCGATCTCGGCACGCTCTGCAGAGTGCGGCCGGACGCTCCACGGAGTAAGAAAGCGTCGATAGGCCGTATGGTGTCACTGTCGTAATTACAAAAGCGTAAGTAGAAGGTTGAAGCAAGATAGAATGCTATCTTTTTCGAGCTTTGTTAAACATAGTGTTGGCCGTTTCTTCACATATAATATTGCAAAGCACAGCTTTATGCGCTGGCTACGATATGTGCGTGTCGGTTGCGGCAGTAATAATCGAAGAAATATATGATTTATTAACGTTTCTTGATCATAGAATGATAAAACATTGCAATGTTTGCCTGTTGTGAAGAAAACTGCTATACTGCCGCTCTATCGTCCGGAATTATTCGTGTTCGATTACGTCGATTCCGCCACTCTATCAGCTGATTTTTGTTTCCGAGTCACGTGACCAACCGGTGTCTCCCTGGCCTAAGAGAAAAAGCTCGCTGCAAAAACTGAGCGTTTCAAAAAACCCGAAAATCGACGCAAATAGAATATTTATACTAATGAGCTTTCTGCCAAGTTTTGTGCGGATCATTCTTAGGTGTTGTTTTTATCCGCTGGGACTGAGAGCGTGAGATGATGTTTTTCGTACTCCAGCGTAGATGGGTAGCCATTCGGCTGCCACGGTTGACAGTGATGACATCAGTCATCTTTTGCAAGCTCGCTAAAGATTTGGGCTATACGGGGATTCGAACCCCGGTCCTTTGGATTAGCGCTCCAATGCTCTACCTCTGAGCTATATAGACCAAGCACTTTAACGAGCTTTCTGCCAAGTTTTATGCGGATCATTCTTAGGTGTTGTTTTTATCCGCTGGGACTGAGAGCGTGAGATGATGTTTTTCGTACTCCAGCGTAGATGGGTAGCCATTCGGAGCTTGCAAAAGATGACTGATGTCATCACTGTCAACCGTGGCAGCCGAATGGCTACCCATCTACGCTGGAGTACGAAAAACATCATCTCACGCTCTCAGTCCCAGCGGATAAAAACAACACCTAAGAATGATCCGCATAAAACTTGGCAGAAAGCTCGTTAAAGTACTTGGTCTATATAGCTCAGAGGTAGAGCATTGGAGCGCTAATCCAAAGGACCGGGGCTCGAATCCCCGTATAGCCCAAATCTTTAACGAGCTTGCAAAAGATGACTGATGTCATCACTGTCAACCGTGGCAGCCGAATGGCTACCCATCTACGCTGGAGTACGAAAAACAACATCTCACGCTCTCAGTCCCAGCGGATAAAAACAACACCTAAGAATGATCCGCATAAAAGTTGGCAGAAAGCTCGTTAAAATACTTGGTCTATATAGCTCAGAGGTAGAGCATTGGAGCGCTAATCCAAAGGACCGGGGTTCGAATCCCCGTATAGCCCAAATCTTTAACGAGCTTGCAAAAGATGACTGATGTCATCACTGTCAACCGTGGCAGCCGAATGGCTACCCATCTACGCTGGAGTACGAAAAACGTCGTCTCACGCTCTCAGTCCCAGCGGATAAAAACAACACCTAAGAATGATCCGCGTAAAACTTGGCAGAAAGCTCGTTAAAGTACTTGGTCTATATAGCTCAGAGGTAGAGCATTGGAGCGCTAATCCAAAGGACCGGGGTTTGAATCCCCGTATAGCCCAAATCTTTAACGAGCTTGCAAAAGATGACTGATGTCATCACTGTCAACCGTGGCAGCCGAATGGCTACCCATCTACGCTGGAGTACGAAAAACATCATCTCACGCTCTCAGTCCCAGTGGATAAAAACAACACCTAAGAATGATCCGCGTAAAACTTGGCAGAAAGTTCGTTAAAGTACTTGGTCTATATAGCTCAGAGGTAGAGCATTGGAGCGCTAATCCAAAGGACCGAGGTTCGAATCCCCGTATAGCCCAAATCTTTAACGAGCTTGCAAAAGATGACTGATGTCATCAATGTCAACCGTGGCAGCCGAATGGCTACCCATCTACGCTGGAGTACGAAAAACATCATCTCACGCTCTCAGTCCCAGCGGATAAAAACAACACCTAAGAATGATCCGCATAAAACTTGGCAGAAAGCTCGTTAAAGTACTTGGTCTATATAGCTCAGAGGTAGAGCATTGGAGCGCTAATCCAAAGGACCGGGGTTCGAATCCCCGTATAGCCCAAATCTTTAACGAGCTTGCAAAAGATGACTGATGTCATCACTGTCAACCGTGGCAGCCGAATGGCTACCCATCTACGCTGGAGTACGAAAAACATCATCTCACTCTCTCAGTCCCAGCGGATAAAAACAACACCTAAGAATGATCCGCATAAAACTTGGCAGAAAGCTCGTTAAAGTACTTGGTCTATATAGCTCAGAGGTAGAGCATTGGAGCGCTAATCCAAAGGACCGGGGTTCGAATCCCCGTATAGCCCAAATCTTTAACGAGCTTGCAAAAGATGACTGATGTCATCACGGTCAACCGTGGCAGCCGAATGGCTACCCATCTACGCTGGAGTACGAAAAACATCATCTCACGCTCTCAGTCCCAGCGGATAAAAACAACACCTAAGAATGATCCGCATAAAACTTGGCAGAAAGCTCGTTAAAGTACTTGGTCTATATAGCTCAGAGGTAGAGCATTGGAGCGCTAATCCAAAGGACCGGGGTTCGAATCCCCGTATAGCCCAAATCTTTAACGAGCTTGCAAAAGATGACTGATGTCATCACTGTCAACCGTGGCAGCCGAATGGCTACCCATCTACGCTGGAGTACGAAAAACATCATCTCACGCTCTCAGTCCCAGCGGATAAAAACAACACCTAACCCGCGCCCCGTAGGGGGGAAGCCGAAACGGCACCCCCTGTCCTTTTCGGTCGATATCTCCTAAACGGCTGGAGATATCGCCACCAAACTTTAAGGACCCCTCCGGGCATCAATTTTACACATTGTGACTAAACATTTTTCCAGAGGCTGTGATAGGCAGGGGTGAAAAAATGTCTCAGGCTGTCACCGACGGAAGGTCCAGCTGACTCACGCCTAATTTTGACATTTGAGCAGTAGCTTAATGAAGTTTGAGATGCGCTGAGGACCTCAATGCACGCCTAGTTATCATAAGAAAAATCAATTTTCGACAGTCACAACTCACATCATTGAGCTGCAGTTATTGGAATCACACCACTGACACCATAGGCGGCGGAACGGGGGGGGGGGTACCGGGGCACCAGTGCCCCCCTTGATTTTGGCATTTTAACATTAGCCCTATGGGCGTTGCATGGAAAGAATGGGACCAAAAGTCGGCAGTGCCCCCCCCCTTAATTGAAGGTATCCGCCGCTACTGACTGACACGTAGATAAAAGGAAGAAGCTGTAGAACAGCGCTGAGTGTATTGTCCGTTCAAAGCGGAAACAAATTTTCGTTCTATTTAATGCATGGCTTGAGGTCGTTTCGACCCGAAGAGAAGCATCACAAACAAGATGATCATCCGCCATTCCATTTAGGTGAATGTTTTCCAGAAAAGGAGATGGAACAACGGTTGATCATAATCCTCAAAACACGGATGGCTCTCGTCGAGTGACGTTCAGCATGCTCCTTGTAAAACTCGGTTCGGTTAGAGAGTAGTTGATTAGTATGTAGCACCAACAATCTCAGCTTGTTTGAGACACCAATAGATACGGTTGTTAGGCCCATGGCGAGCGGCGAAGACCGCAGTCCCTTGTCCCTCTTATACGGCCTTGCCTTGCCCACGGTTTATGACGATCCGGCGGAGTCTCAGTCCTACCATCCCAAAACGTCCGAGGTCTGTTTATGGCGCCGGCGATGGCTCCCCGAAGATCCTACTGGTCAGTTGAATTTGAAAAGTCTTAGTGATCGAACCTCGTTGTGTCGGTTGTGAGGCCGAGTATTGCGCAGAGGAATTGTGACTAGCGCTACGCATTGGTATAACATCGTAAGTACCTATATCGGGCATCTGTAGTGTTTTTTTTCGGGAATAGAATCACCGTTAACAAATACCCCGCTATTTTAATTTACATTCAGCTAAAAAAAACGTTAAGTATTGTTTGATATCAGCTGAGCAAGATAGCACTTTTACTTGTTATCGACCTCAGGATCAAGCTGGTATTACAAATAGCATATGTTCACCATTAAACACTTTTCCTCTTTATAATGCAAACCTGATTCGAACTTCATCGCATAAA